CCTGGTGCTCGGTGCTGCGCGGTGGCGTGGCTGGCTCCAGCCGGGCAGTGCGGCTGCCTGACCTGGTGCTCTGTGCTGCGCGGTGGCGTGGCTGGCTCCAGCCGGGCAGTGCGGCTGCCTGTCCTGGTGCTCGGTGCTGCGCGGTGGCATGGCTGGCTCCAGCCGGGCAGTGCGGCTGCCTGTCCTGGTGCTCTGGGCAGCGCAGCTGTAGCGCCACCAGCCACCAGTGCTCCAGGCAGCGCAGTAAGGGGGCAGGGAGCGGGGGGGGAGGCTGCATAGAGGGCAGGGGAGTTCAGAGTGGGGGTGGGGGGGGGTGGGGGCAGGGAACGGGGGGGCCGGATGGGGCGGGAGCCGGGGGGGGCGTCAGAGGGTGAGAAGCAGGAGGGATCAGATAGGGGGCGGGGTCTGGGCCACACCTGGCTGTATGGGGAGGCACAGCCTCCACTAACGGGCCCTCCATACAATTTCGGAAACCCAATGTGGCCCTCAGGGCAAAAAGTTTGCCCGCCCCTGCTCTAATTGCTTTCTCTGCTGAAACAAAGGGAGATGATAAAGGAATAAAAATTATTTTCTAGATCTTTCCCAATACAGATGTGTTAGAGTAGGTGGCTTTCACAGCATTTAATCTGTCCATATGCAAATATAGGGCCCTGGAATTTCAATTATGTCCCAGATGCTAAGGCCCCATTGCAATGCCCATTGGAGTCAATGGGAGTTCATCCATTCACTTCATTCAACATTGGATCAGTTCAAAATGAGGAATTCATTTTTTAAAATAGCAAAACTTTGGGGGTTCAGTTCCTTACTATGAAAATTTCCATATCCTGATCAAGTAGAGTTCCTGATTCCACTCTTTTACAGACATAAAAAGAGGGAGAACATAAGGTGGGAAAGAGTGAGATTTGGATCTAATATATGAGACAGTTTAGAGAGAAGTTTGGTTTGGCAGTTGAAATATATAATTTGATGCTTGGCATTGTCATGGTCTTAGCTACTAACTCTGTCAAAGCAAATGTTCCCTTCTAAGAATAAGGAATACTGTAAGTTACCAGTGCCTAGATGGTGATTTTAGATTATAGAGAATGGAATCCTATTTTAATGTGCACACCACATTTGTTAATAGAGTGGGCTTTATAGAAATCACTCAGATAGATATGTTTCAAATTGGACCCTACTCTGACATTAAAAAGATGTTTGTCTTAGAACAATTCACTGTAAAATCTAATATTTTTTAGACCAAGAGCCTGTTACCACTGCATTACTCCAGTTGTGTGCCAATGTGTAACACCATTGATTTCATTGGCATCACAGTGGTATATAAAAGAGAAATGCCATGGTGTATCAAACCTCAAAGGGCACAGTAGTCCCACTGAAATCAACAGGACTACTCACAGTAATAAAGGTAAGCATGTGTGTAAGTGTTTACAGGATTGGAGTCTTATATATTGGATACTATTTTCACCATTGTAAAGAATAATTTTTAAGTTGCAATATAATTTAAATGGCTGTAATAGCTTTCCCCCCATTTAAAACTAAAGAAAAGTGAGGTGTGGATGAAAGGGTAAAACCCTGGAGCAAAGCCCAAATGAGAGAGATTTTCTGAGAGAAAATTGTGTCAAAAAAGGCCTACTAAAGGCTACAGAAAAAGGAATCCTTGTCCCTAGCCAGTGCTCCAGGGTACTCTACACCTCATAGCCAGCTGCTGTTGAGTTGAGGGAAGAGTCAGTTAGCCCTGCTGCTCGTCTCTAACTTTGCTGATTCATGCTATGTGCCCACATCCCCTACTCATCTCCATTTTGCAGCGCTGAGTTGTA